CCTTACCTGTGTACAGTATCTGTGCATTTCCACAGAGTTGAACCCGCGACCTGTGTGTTTTTGTAGCAGTTGGTAGGTCGTCGTAGGGTCCCTAGGCCGTCGGGGTTTGATCTGTAGACCTCTCCGGTAGGAGTCCAGTCAGGCCTAGCAGCCGTAGCTGTAGGCTTTTTGAAGAGTCAAAGTCGTAGCTGCTACTTACCCGAAGGGTCAAGGTCGTAGCTGCTAGAGTACCGAAAGGCCAAGTTGAAGCTTCTAGAAGTGGCCTTTTGGGGTCATCCCACCAGAGGTCAAGGGAAGTAGGCAAGTGGCGAAGTCCACCTATCTGAGTCAACAGTCCCCAGTCCCAGTCTCCCCTTGTCCAGTCAGCAAGTACCATATGGGACTGTAGGCACACCGGGCCTGGGAATATAGGGCAGACCAACACTCCACAGAAGTGTAAATCAAGAAGCAGCGCACAGCCAAACATTCATTCCTGCGGAAGCCATGCGGAAGCGCTGCTCGAGCGTCTTGTGCTAGGAGGTCTGCAGGCAGCCCGAAGACGAAGGGGGCAGAAGTGTAGTAGTAGCTTAGTGGTAGTGGCGCCCAGCGCCATAGCTGTAGATAGCGCATAGAGAGTATGGGTGTGCAAAGTGTGCAGTGTGTGAGGTATCCAGGGTGATCCGCAGTTGTGTTGTGTGTGAACAGTGGGGTGAGATGTGTGTTGTGAGCGCCATGCGCCATAGCCAACAGAAGTTAACTTGTATTCGAGTGGGGTCATAAGTTGCCATATTTTTTAGCATGGAGTTTGGGCGCATGTCGCCAAGTGGTCCTCATCCTGTTTGCATGTATGTATGCGTGTGAGATTGCAAGTCTGATTGCACGTTTCGAATGCAATTACAACCTATTTTCGTAACCGCGCCCCGAAGTTACCCCATCATTATAAGGTAAGGCTGTTTCAATTTTGGATCTACTTGTCTGGGTAGGAAATTTAAAGGGTTGTTTTCGTTACACTCTATAACACAAACAGACAAGCACACACACAAGACAACTTTATCTTTGGATATTCTATCAAATTTTATGTGATACTAATATTTTAGAGTGTTACTAACTGCAAGGATCTGATTAAACACCCACATCCTTGTCGTGTGAAGCTGAGAAGGGTCACCACATCTGCGTACTTACGTGTGCGAGGTGTACACGTGCATTTGCTTTTCAGAATGCCTACGCCTTATGTTTTGTCTGTTCTCTTAGTGATGCTCACGCTTATGCATTTAAAAGTTCTGATGGGAGGATGTAAGGATTGCAGGTTGGTGCACCTAAAGTTGACCCCTTTTATCAGGGGAGTCGCTAACTCTGGGGGACGTGCTTAGTTCTTATCCATCCATCAAATGCAAGTTGGGCAGAGTGTCGGGGTTCAGCCCCCTCCTCATGTGTCGGTGATGGTCTGATGAAACAGTCTGGCACAGTCATGCTTTTTTCATGGAGTTGCATAATTTAAGCGAACATTACAAAACACATGCACAGAGTAAGTCTGAGCAATGACTCTGTGACAAGCAGAAACCCTACTCTACGCACCTCCTCAACCAGGGATATCCAACTCTCATGAGTCCTCGCTCCAGTCATATCGATCTCCCTTGACCAGCAGGAGCTTAGCGAGGCTGTGTTGAGTGCTGTCAAGTTCGCCATCACATCAGCAGCATCACAGCAAGAACAACAGTGCAAAACAATGCCAACATGGGAAGATTGCAGAAATGCCAGTTTGCAAATGTATCGTAGCAACTTCACCGGTCCGTGCAGGTATGCCTGCAAATATATCGCTATAAATGCAGAAATACCATTTTTTGAGGGTTTCTGTGCAGATTTACCGGCCGGTACCTGCTTTCGTACCACGGGTCCCGTCGTCCTGGCCTGAGGCAAGGGCTCAAAGGCCCATGGGTCCTCTGTTGCAACCCAGGTACGGCCCCGAATATTTGCAACTGGAACGTCATGGACCGGTATTTCTGCACAGATACAGGTCAAAAGAGCCTGCGCTGCTGAGCCTCGCAAACGTGTTTGTTTGTCACCATACCTGCGCAGACCGGTGAAGTCGCTACGATCATACGTTTGCAAAGCGGTATTTCTGCAATTTGCCCCGTAGCACAGAAGCAGCAAAACAGTGGTGTGGCAACAAAGGCAAACATCAGTGTCACAAGCGCATAGCAGTGGCCGCAACATCATGACAGAGACAGCAGGATCACAACAACAGCATGACAGCAGAAAAATCGCAGTAGACATCCGTTAAAATTGGAACGATACAGAGAAAGAAGATTAGCATGGCCCCTTAGCAAGGATGACACACAAAAATCGAGAATGACCACCTCGAGAGACACAATTGCAGCAGCAGCACTTGACAGAGGTAATCCATGAGTGCCCGCTAAATAGAGAGGGAGGCCGAGAGGGTCCCGGAAATAGAGGAAGTGAGAGAAAAATGAGAGAGCTCCATGGTCTATACTGCCAATTCTCCAATTCCATATTTTTATTTAGAGGTAAGTACGTTTATATCACTTTCGAGTATCGAATATTAAGGCAAAAAACACGTGCCGGCAAAGAAACCAGGCGCCGAGTTCTAAAAAGCAATGAAAGTACCATCGGTCGTGGTGTCAGGTCAAGTGTCATACTTACAAGGGCTAGGCCATGGTGTCAGATGGGGAAAGAAAAAGAAAAACAAATGCCCAACGGATACTTTTCGACACAAAATGCCGTTTCGGAGTCGGCTCGCACAAAACCTCCACCCTTGTGTCTTTCATTTAACAAAGGGGTAACTTTGGCGCAGTCACGAAAACAGTTTGTAATTGCACTTCAGGCAATCCCGCGAACACAACACACCCCCATGCGACCCCACCGGACCCGAAACATAGGTCATATACATTCAGCATTACCGGCCCTTTCGCCTCAAGTGCAATTACAAACTCAAACCCTGACTGCACCGTAGTTTTCTCTTTAACAAACCATGGCCATGCTTCTCGCTCGCATGTTTCTCATTCAGTCTACATACGCATATTCCCCTACTGCATAACAGTGATGCCAATATAAAGGGAAAAGTCATAAAACCTCCCTACGACGAAAACTTTGTATCCGTTTGGGAAAAAAGTGCCGCAGGTCCCAATATCACTTTCGGTGTCATGTTTGCACCCTGGCTGGGGCAGTAATGGCCGCTGTCTAAAAATGGCGGGAAAGTGTTTTGCAGGGTGCAAAAATGACGCCGAAAGTGATTTTGGGGCCTGCGGCACCTTTTTCCCTGGATACAAAGGTTTCGTCGTGGGGAGGTTTTATGACTTCTCCCCAATATAAAGACAGCAACAAAATAGGATCAAATGGCAAAAGCATCATTACGATGATAGCAGCCGCCGCAGGGGACGGTAACCACAGTATAGACGTAAGATCATGAGAGTGCACCAATAGACTAAGCGCGCTAACATAGCTATACAGACTGATACAGTATAAACTGCTGCAGAACATGACGAACGACTGCTCCTCCTTCCCTCTTTCAGATATCCAAGGTGCAGTCTTTCCATTACTTCTTGGTGCCTGCCTCCTCTCACAGCACACTCACAATGCGACCTCCCCGCGGTATGTGTTTAACCACACTCTCGACCAACCCATTGCCTGACCAATGTCCTTGTGTACGCATATACCCCCTTTGTGGTTGCACAGGGAGTGTATACTTGACAATGTACAACTATGGCAAGAGCAGCATGAGAATACTAGCAGGGAACTGCAACATCACTATAGACGAAGGATAGTGGGAGCACACCAGCAGTGTGCCAACATAGCCATACAGGATGAAGTACTTTGAACTGTAGCAGAGCATGACAAATGGCATCTACTCCCTCCCTCCTTTAGATATGAAAGCTGCACTCCTCCCCTGACCCTTGGCGCCGCCCTCTTCTCAGGTATCAGGGATTACTGAAAATGTGACCCCCCCCCCTGTACGCATTTGACCCCAGCTCTGGCCAAAACATTCCCTCCAAAATGTCCTTGCGCGAGTATATACCCCCATTCTCTCCAAAATCGCATTTCGCTTTCCTTTTTCACAGTCAATAATGTGCAACATGCTATGATCCCGCCCAATTCTTGATGCTTAACTCAGACCTGAGGGAATGCAATTTCCTTCTCCATTTGTGATCAAGAGAAGTGGAAAGCACAAAGAAAGGAAACAGAATTCAAGAGTAGTGGAAAGCACAAAGAAAGGAAACAGAATGAAGCCAACAAGACGATGAAGAAGAAAAAGAGCACAAAATACGTCTCCTCCCCTGTTCCTTTCTTCTCCATCATCATCATCCCTTACATAGCTCCTCCTCTTTATTATTACATTAAAAAAAAAAAAAAAATCACAAAAGTGAAGACCAAGGTCCATCATTGCCACAGGTGAGTCTTCCGCTCAGGTCCCCCTTTCTTCCTCCCCCTCACCTACTGTCCTCCGCCTATCTCCATAGCCCGGTATGGATCTCAGGAAGTGCAGACTTCTCAGCACACGTAACTGTGCAGGTCGTTGCAAATAACTACGGTAACCCCTCAAATTTCTGACGCGAGAATGATCAGGCCATGCGACATTGGAGACCGACAGTGAATACACCACGAGCCTCTCGGTATACTTTCCTCACTGCTGACCGTTGCGACAGGAGTCAGTATGATCAGAGAATCTTTTTCAGCGGCCTCTCGGTGTATTGTGCCAGTACTAACAGTTTGAAGTAGAAAGGACATACATGGAGCACTGAAGCTCGACAAATGTTCCTATGATCCCATATCACCATGTGAGTAGCGACAGCGTCGAAACCGCAAAAAAACTGCAGATATAATCCAACAATATCACCATTTTCAAACGGATGCTGCATCGTCCCCACTGGTTGTCGTCTTTGGATGTACGGCCTGGGAGCAAAAAGGCAGAAACACGTTACGTATTGGCTGCACCACAAGCCCTATTATCCGCGTGATCAAGTTGTCAGGCAATCTTTCCAAGTAAGTGCCACTGAAGATGCGGCCAAACATTTTGCGATTCATTTCAACTTGTTGGAGATCTCTCTGCCACGCCTCTCCCAGCGTTGATGTGTGAAGCCTGAAGCGCAATGGAGTCAATGGGGTCAAATCCAGAGAACACGTATTGACAGTACAAGCTGAGATGAAGATAACCCAGGGAAGCAGCAACGGGCAGTAACCGCTCAAACTCAGAATTACCAGAATAGAAAATAGAATGCCCTACACGTTTGATAAAAGAAGCTTCTCGGAGATGATACAAGGATCTCATCTCTTCAGATCCTATCGTTGAGGACACAAGGCCTTCGGAACAACAGTCCTCAATGTACAAAATCACATCCGCATTCTCGTCAACGGACTGGCGATCTATTCTCTCATGTTTGCACGCCGTGACTCTGCCGAGCATTGTCGGCACATCGCCATGGGGCTTGTACCGTTCTTCAACAATGCTCAAACCCACAATCTCCAGCAGTGTCTGCCCTTTTTTGTTACCCCTCGTTGCAGTGGCAAACAGGCTGCCGCTCTCGCGATCTCGGACCTCTGCAAACCAGCCATCGCCAGGAAGGGAGGTCAGCAGCATTCGCAGCGGCAAGTGTTTGTCGTCGATTCCCACAAGATCGAAATCTATGAGCTGAGCAAGCGCAAGGAACGAATGGAAGCAGTTGATATCGGCAACTGCTTTGCACAATTCAAACAGTTTCTGGGCAACGGTCTCGTCACACTCATGGGTGACATCCATCCCTGAGCGACTGAACATTCGCACAAACAGCCTCGGACAATGTGAGATCGCAAACTCTATCAAGGCGAATCCCAAAGCCAAAGGGAGATCCTCACCCCTATGACACATTTGTCTGATAACATCCAAAAAGGCATCCTCGTCTCCATCCTCGAATTCACCCAACGAATTGACGAAGTCACAAGCCCAGTCCACAGTGGCACGGCACTCGGAAATATGTGCCGGTCTTCAGGCTGCGCAAAATCTAACAAACTTCTGAATGAAAGCTTCACGATCCCTCATGAGGAGATTGAAATTTCGTTTTTCGGTCAGATAGATGGTTAAGACGAACAATTTCACGGGAGACTCTCCGATGACCGAAGATGCGCTCATTGTCGCCAGTTGAAGAGGAAGCACATGATACTTCTCGAACACACTTCCGTGGAAAGCGCTAAGGAAGTCGAGACCAACAGTGTTTCTGCCGCGCTCTTCCTCCTCTTCAAGCCCGTCGATGCCTGTTAAGAATGTTGGCTTAACTGTTTGACAGCTTGATTGCCCCCCAAACATGAGACCAACAGTGTTTCCGCCACGCTCTTCCTCCTCTTCAAGCCCGTCGATGCCGGTTAAGAATGTTGGCTTAACTGTATGACAGCTTGATTGCCCCCCAAACATGAGACCAACAGTGTTTCCCCCGCGCTCTTCCTCCTTTTCAAGCCCATCGATGCCTGTTACGAATGTTGGCTTAACTGTTTGACAGCTTGGTTGCCCCCCAACCATGGTGTCGAAGATTGCTTCCTTACCTGTTCGACCTATTGGTTGGCTGAATTAACATCCGCCAGGGCAGACTCTTGTCAGAAAAAAACAAAAAACAGGGCACCAGGACCTCAGACTGACAATGCTGCAAAGTTCTCAAACAATACACTCGAATTCAACGCATCCCCTTTCAACTTGGCCGATGATCAGCTGCAGACGCAGGGAGGAGGAGAAAGAAAAGAGGTTGGTGGGGAAGGGAGAGGATGGACAAGCTTAGGAGGCAGACAAGGAGAAGAAACAGAGGGAGACGGCGGAGCCTCAGGCAATATAATCTTTATAAGGACAAAAATGAGGATCAGGGATCGAGGATCGAGGACCATGGATTGGGGGCCGAAAGTCGGAGATCCAGGATCGGGGATAGCCCATCCTACAGCATGACCAGAGAGGTACTCAAACAGTGAAAAGGTTAAGGTCAGGCGAGGTGGTTAATTGTAGATCACTACTCTCTTTCCCCGAACACAATGCACGGTCATAGAGACTGTATGAGAGTGAAAAAAATAGCTTGTACACATTCACGATGACCGTGGGGGAAGGCGGGGCACTCCTTGCGTGGGAGAACAATCACACTGACACTGGAACCATTTGTATGTCCTTGAATCTGGCTTGATTTCAGCGATACATCCGGGAGTTTCCAAGTGCAACCGTTTTCCCCCGAACATAACGCACATAAAAAATGAATGTATAGGAGTTGTACTTTCGGCCAGACACAGCCAAAATGAGGGTGCGTTGTGTTCGGGGGAAGACGGTAGTCTGACGAGTGCATGCAGTGTGCTCAGCCACTTAACGCTGACACGTCGAATCTCGTTCACATTCTGTGTGAGACTCTCAAAATGTAGACTGCTAAAAAGAGTCGAATTTCTTTGAGGGGGAGGGGGGGGGGGGG